GGGCACTGGGGATATTTGGGACCAGCTTGGGATGGGGCACTGGGAGCAGACTGAGATGGGGGCACTGGGAACATTGGGACCAGGCTGGGATGGAGCACTGGGACCAGATTGGGATGAGGGCACCGGGAATATTGGGACCAGCTTGGGATGGGGCACTGGGACCAGACTGGCGTGGGGCACTGGGAGCACTGGGACGAGGCTGGGATGGGTCCCTGGAGGCGCCGGAGCAGCCGGACACCCGCGCAGGTCTGCAAGGAGAAGCACCGCTTCGAGCGCCTCATGGACTACTTCCGCAACGAGGACAGCAGCATCGACTTCATGGTGAGGCCCGGGGAGGCCGGGCCGGGTGCTGGGGGCTGCGGGGCCGCCCGCGCCGACCATCCCTCCCCGCGGCCCGCAGGTCGCCTGCATGCAGTTCATCAACATCGTGGTGCACTCCGTGGAGGACATGAACTTCCGCGTGCACCTGCAGTACGAGTTCACCAAGCTGGGGCTGGAGGAGTTCCTGCAGGTGCCGCCGCCGGGGGGGGGACACGGGACAACGGTGGGGTGTGGGGGGGGTCACCGGCAGCCCCGCCGCCGCCGCTGCCGCCCGCAGAAGTCGCGGCACACGGAGAGCGAGAAGCTGCAGGTGCAGATCCAGGCCTACCTGGACAACGTCTTCGACGTCGGCGGGCTGCTGGAGGATGCCGAGACCAAGAACGTGGCCCTGGAGAAGGTGGAGGAGCTGGAGGAGCATCTGTCCCACGTACGTGTGCAGAGGCGAGCCCGGCCGGGGACGGGGGGCGGCGGCAGGGGGGACGGACCCCGGGGGTGTCACGGCCGCGTGTCCCCCCCCAGCTGACGGAGAAGCTGCTGGACCTGGAGAACGAGAACATGATGCGGGTGGCGGAGCTGGAGAAGCAGCTGCTGCAGCGGGAGAAGGAGCTGGAGCTGGTCAAGGTGCAGGACGGGGCGGGTCACGGGAGGGTGGCGTGATGCGGGGGGGTCCGTCCTCATGTCCCCCCGCCCCGCTGCAGGAGACCTACGAGCACACGAGCCGGCAGGTGCACACGCTGCGGCGCGTCATCGAGGAGAAGGACGCGGCGTTCCGGCAGCGCTACGGGG